AGCACAGGGGTCCATATTTGAGTTGTCAGTTTCGGCCGCCACAGGGCCATAATCGTCTGTTACGGGCAATTTCGTACTCGGTCAGATGTACTCTTTCATTTAAAATTGGTTTTGACCGGTACCGCGAATGTATGAGTATAACTCATTTTTGTCCCCCCTCGGCTTTGGGGTGTCAGTTTAGGCTATCCCAGGCAGGGACGTAAATCTGGGGGGGGGGGGGGTGTCGGGGGTGGTACACCCCTCCAGGAAAAAAAATAGTCGGTCGCAAAATCAGTGCAGTCGGTCGCAAAATAAGAGCAGTCGGTCGCAAAATAAGTGCTCACTGCACACGTCACGCTACTCACGCAAAACTTTAGTATAAAATAACCTTGTCAACTTATCATGTTTGAAAAAATAATGTGTTTCACTCTTATTCTGTTGTGAGTATGTAGGTCTAAGAACAAAATTTCCTCCAGGGAGAAAAATAGTCGGTCTCAAAATAAGTGCAGTCACTGTAGTCGGTCTCAAAATTATGCATCGCCGTCTTAATGAATTAATGAGGTAAACAAATAATGCCAGAATAGATCCCAAATACTAGTCGGTCGCAAAATCAGTGCAGTGGGTCGTAGGATATGAGCAGTCGGTATCAAAATAAGTGCTCACTGCACACGTCACTCTAATCACGCAAAACTTTAGTATAAAATAACCTTGTCGACTTATCATGTTTGAAAAAAATGTTTTTCAGGCCATGGCAAAAAAATAGTCGGTCTCAAAAAAAAGTGCTCACCGCAGTCGGTCTCAGACTAAATGAATTAATGGGGTGTTTTCTGACCATCAGAATTTTGCAAAATCTCTCCCCAAAGTCCAGGGCATTTCAGAGACCAAGTAAGCGCCCCATTGAGGAAAAGTGCCCTCAGGCCCAGTCCTCAAAAATTAAAAGCCCAGTTACATATCAGCGTTCAAATCCATTATGCCATCATTCTTCAACTCCTTCTCTGTCTTATACTATCTCATCACTATCATATTCACTGTTACAGTGAAAAGACTGTAGAATTGTTAGTTCTACTCTCACAAAACAGGCGACATTGACAGATAGGCCTGAAGATTCTGTCCCATTTCTTATCCTCTCGTTAACGAGAATTTGGATCCATTTGCCATGACATTGACTAAAATTGTCAGGCCCAGTCCCAAAAATTACACAGCTCGGTTACACATCTGAAATTGTTTCGCGCCTGCGGCGCTCGATTCCATTATAACATCATTCTTCCACTCTGTTGTCTTACACTGTTTCAGCACTATCATATTCACGGTTATACTGAACTGCCTAGTTATGTTAGTAGTACCACTGGCACTGGTGTGTGGGTCGTGGGTCGTGGGCCGTCAGACTATACAAAAGTTCTGTCAACTCTTGCAAAACAGGCGGAATTGACACGGGTGGATCTCGAGATTTTGTCTAATTGACTCACATTTCTGGTCCTCTCGTCCACAAGAATTTCTCCCAGAAATGACCTCAAATGCCAAGATATTGACTCAATTTTTCAAAATTTTCTCAGTGTTATAGGCACAATTATATATGACATAAACTTTATGTCAACTTAAATAAAACTGCTTTCCAGCGAGACAACGATCGGCAAATAACTATATAATTATACAATACCATCTATGTTCTACCGGGACGCTTAATGTTATAGCCAGTATTTTGTTGACATTCATTGTGGGGTGGGATTGTGGCTGGGGTGGCGCCCTAGATTTGGACCCACCCCTCCACCCCTATCTAGATCCGCTACTGCACATGGCCCCTACAAAATTCGCACCTGTGGTGCTCGGCTCCTTACTGCGTCACTCGTACTAGGGGTATGGGCATCAGTCGGTGGCATTTTGGCTAAACACCCCCCCAAACAAAATCGTAATGTACGCCCCTGATCCCAGGGGCCCAATCGTCTGTTATGGGGAATTTCGTACTTAGTGGGATATACGCTTTCGTTTAAAAATAGTTTCAACTGGTACCTCGAATGTATGAATATAACCCCTTTTCTAAGTCTCGGGGGGGGGGGGGGCATATTTATGGTGTCAGTTTGGGCCGTCCCAGGGCCAAAATCGTCTGTTACGGGGAAATTTCATACTCGGTGAGATGTACTCCTTCATTTAAAATTGGTTTCAGCCGGTACCTCGAATGTGTGAGTATAGCCCATTTTGAGGATCATGCTAGGGGTCACCAGGGCCACACCCATGGACTGAGCCCCGTAAGACCCCCACTTCTGTGCATTCCAGGTTAGTATGTAGATGCCTATGTGGTCAGATATTGGTACCTCGTTCTTCTAGGTTCGACCCTCTGGGCTCCTGGTCTAGTGGTTCCCAACCTTTTAAATACAAGATTTCATATTCCATAAAGCTGTTTAAATACATGATGTTTAAATACCTGATTTTATATTCCATATAAAGCTGTTTAAATACAAGATTTCATATTCCATAAAGGGTTTTGATGACAAATTATTTGAATTGCGTTGGCTAGACATGAATTTATCTGACACTCAAACTATTTTTCTACATAGCTTTGAGTGGAGAAATCAACCCACATATTAGATAGAATTTCCGAATGGAAATGTTATACAAACACAAGGATGGGGAATATGGGCGAAGACACCTCAAGAGCATTTTTATAGTTAAAAAATCTCAAAACAGATTTATTGGTTTCAATGGCCATGGACGGGTTTGATTTGGGTCAAGAATATAATGGTTATATTTCATAGTTTGAAGTTAAACTGTATACTTCGTTTCTTTTTATGTTCTTTCAGTGTTTAGGTTGTTAAGTTACCATACCACGTTAACGACTGTATGTGTATCCACTAAAATGTGTAGTTAATACACATTTTGAAATGATTATAATAGAAATAAAATATCAAATATGTAATCAAGCATTTTCTGTCTATATAATACAACCATAAATGTAGACTAATAAATTTCAATAAAGATATTTTTGTTTTAAAACAATCTATAATTCATCAGTTTTGCGTCGAGATACCCTGTGTATTTCAAACAACCAGAATTCGTTATGGATAAAACAACCAAACATCCATGCATTGACCAGTGAAGGGACAATTGGGATAACATGGGGCACATGTAGCGGTACCATCAAACCACCAACCACCCCCATGAGCTGTAGCACACACAGTATCACCACTATCATAGGTACTGAATCTTTTACCAGACGATTCTGCCATGGTATCATTTAATCCATTATCCCAGCCACCGTCTGCACTGATAGTGATGGTATAACTAGTAGATTGATCATCCATAGTAAAGGTAGAGTACTCTCTCATCTGGTCGTTTATAGAAATATAAAAGGATCGTTCCGATGGGGTTCTGGTGGATGCTAAAAAATACATTTTCTTTAAGCCAAGCCAATAGTTTCCGTCCAAATTCCCAAAACCTTCTTCATAGTCGACCCAACTTCTGTTAAAATCAACATGGATGTTGGGGTGATATCGTTGTTGAAAGACTGTATTTCCATTATGCTTCATGTCACAACGAACCTTGAAGTGGTCAGCTGATGTAGATGGTTGTACGACAAATATATCAAAAACCTCTGACCACTTCCCTAAATCAAATCCTTCTTTACAATCTGAAAACCAGAGTACACAGAAAATGGTAAAAGCTCAGGTTTTATTCGATAAAAAGGTCACCAAACATATCGTTATATTATGCGGCCATGTTTATATCAGGACAGACATAATCCTACTTTCCCCATGTGTATCATCACTATAAAGGAGAGATAGAGAGAGACATGGGGTTTAACGTCCACTCGACACAAACTAGGTCATTTCGGGACTAACATATGGTTCAATTTTATTTACATAATTCGCTTGCGCGTAGGGGTCTTTAGCAATGGGAGGAAACCGGAGGACCCGGAGAAAACCCACGAGGTTGGACAGGCGACCCTACTCCTTGCCACGTACAACCGGGGAATCGAAACCCCGCCAGTTGACTCAATGACAGGCTTTATGATACAGCGCGCGCGTGCTAACCATTCGGCCATCCAACCCCCCTCACTATAAAGGACAATATTATATATAAAATGTTATATGTATTTACAAACTACACTTGGATCGTTAAAGACATATTTCCCAGGACGAAATCTGTTACATGCCCTTGGTTTAGTCGCACCAGTCTGTTATGATTATCCTTTAAATAATCTAAAATAAATACAGATCTAAATCTGTTAAATACTGTACCTTTGATAATTTGAGTGCAATTTGGGCCATGATAACCTCGTGAACAGGAGCATTCATTAGCTATATAACAACCAGCGTTAAGACATCCGCCGGAAGGAGTTGTCTGTAAAGATAAACATAACCATAAATACACGACCACAAGACACACCAACATCAGTTTAAAACTCGTCGATATTAATACCCGATCAACATCGTCAAAATAAATAACTCGATAAATATACCCCCTTACAAAATAATCAACATTTTAAAAAAGAATAACCAATTATCAGAATCAGTGATGCTTATCGTTAAATTATTATTTAAACCTATAACATACCACCTTCAATACAGATTGTAAGACCATTCACAATCAAAATATAGTAATGATAATAACAGATATAGTTTAAGACCATTCACAAACAAAATACAGCAATAATAATAACAGATATTTCAAATATTAATAACAACAACAGATATATCAAATAATATTAATAATAATAACAGATATATCAAATAATATTAATAATAATAACAGATATATCAAATAGTAATATCTCAGTCACTCAAATCAGACTTCAAAGAGACCAGATAACTAGTATAAATTGCCTTTAGAACAAGTTCCCATTGACCCCCTTTAATACCAGTAATATCTATGAACGGTACTATTCTTAACGGTGCATCATTTGTATTTTGTCAGAGAATAATAAATGGACTATAAATCCGTAACATCGTTTAAGACGTCTATAACTCATCAATTTGGAGAATAATGAAATAAATATTTAACCGATTAAACAGGATTATAACAAACCTTATTACATAGTTCACCACAGAAATTCGGTGGACAATCACAGAAACCATCGACTGTTTCTTTACCTCCATTATAGCATATGTTTATCTGAAAACATTGAATTAAACATACATTATGTAAGATTTAGATAAATGGCTGACAGTTCTTACTATAATACTTCAAAAATTGATAATGCAAAATAAATATAATGAAAATTTCATTTAAATTACTTTATTCTGAGCCAAGTTATCACTGTTTGAAGTTTTGACAAGATGAGGCATATATATATTATTGTTTATTATCGTAACGAGGGTATTTGTTATTCGAGATTTAGCCTCGATTCGCCATTTTTAAAATAAATCATTAAATGGCGACCCTGTTTAAATCCGTTTAAATCTACACCATCTGATGATAATGGGCTTTGCAAGTAAGTCAGATCTGCAATAGGTCGATTTAATACATGTTTAACCAGATTATTGTTAGCATACATATACAGTTATCTGAACTTACATCTTGACACAATTCACCAGTGTAGGGATATATACATTGACACGTACCAGACACATAGATTCCATCATTGAGGCACGGGTTAGCCTAAATAAATTATAATATTATATATTTAATATAGTAATAATGCAGACAAAGAGGTGAGTGAGTCCTAGAACAAGCCGGTTAACAACTCATACTCAGTCTAAATGATTGATACACAACCAGCAGGGGACGACAAGCAAATTAACAATCGGATTTTAATGTATGAATATTATAAAGTTACTGTTACAAGTATCACCCATTGTTGGCTTCTGTAACACTATTTTAGTGATAACAGTAGACCAGTTTCGTAAATATAGGATTTATTTACATAGGAACAGAATATAACACAACTACATCAATACTACAGAAACTAGACTATACAGGAACTAAACTAAGCTTACATCGGAACACATAGGCCTATAACTATATTAAATCCACCATTCTACCCCTCTGCCAAGGCAGCGGCTGAACTCGGGTGAGTCCATACGCCGGTCTCTCCGTCTCTCTCTGTTCAGTCTAGTAGTTGCCTTCAGTTATATACCTTCTGATCATAGATAAGCTCATGGTCATACATGCAATTATCTCTTTTATCTCGTCATGGCATGCTTACTGACCAGTACGTATATCCTTTGAAGTAATGCGGGGCTTGTACACAGAGCATATGTAGCTTGTAAAGGACATATTAAATTAATTACATGTTTAATTACAACACAGACAATCGTGACTTAAGAACAGTGCATACAGAGTTAAAAGGTCAATATTATATATTATGAAGAAGCATGGCTGGAGGTCACTAAGTTCTAAGCACCCAAATGACCGTTCAATTTGAAGAAAGTTAAAGAGTACTTTGTTACACTTGTCTTCCTACACACTTACTCGTCAGTTGTCTTAGTGATTTCTATAACCAACTCTTCTACCACAGAATCCATCGTGTGTGTCCTTTGATTAATATAAGGTATTAAAATATTATAGTCCAGTATCAAACTTTAGTTTTATATCGAATGTGTGGGGAAAATGCATCGCTCACCAATTATTATCTTATGTTGAACAGAAGTGTTTGATAGAACAATATCAAAGTGCTTACTGAAAATTTGACAGCACAGAACCCCGCACTTACAAGAGTTCACAATGATATTCATCTTTCACAATCGAGAATGTGCTTCTTATTCTTTGGACCTTAAGATAATTTCTACTGAATCGTCTTTCTGCTGTACATCTACTGCACTTATACATCTACTGGATTCAGCTTGGATTTAAACGGGATTTCGTTGACTGATTTAATTTTAAATGGCGTCGTGAGAGGAGATTAACCGTTACGTTGACGTCATACTCCCGGATCGAGGCTAAATGATAGAGTGTAGGGCTACGAAGCGAGGCCGCTGTTGAGCGATGCCTTAACAAATGACATCTAAACAATTTAAAGTACAATAAAGTAAACACAGATGATAACAAATTATACAATTCCTGGAGACCGTGTGATAACCCTCCTGTTGTAATTGGTAATTGTGATATATTTTTGATAGTTTTATGCTTATGGGAGCTCAACTTCTCAAGTAAATAATATTTGTAAATTGTGCTATTTTAATATTAGAAATATAGGTAAAATACGTAAATGTGTAACTGTAGAGGCCACTAAGTCACTTGTTAATTCTCTGGTCACTTCTCGATTTGATAACTTTAATTCACTTTTAGTTGGTTTACCTTTAAAGCTTATATAGATAAATTACAAAAAGTACAGAATACTGCGGCTAGACTTGTTACTTTAACTAAGAAATATGATCACATAATTCCTGTTTTATATAATTTACACTGGTTACCTGTTAAATATCGAATTGATTTTAAGATTTTATTACTTACTTTTAAATGTTTAAATAATTTAGCTCCTGTTTACCTCTCAGATCTTTTAGAACTTTATACACCTGGCTGAACATTACGTACATCAGGTAAACTACTTTTAAAGCCCAAAACTGTTCAACTAGTCTCTTATGGTCAGCACTCTTTTAGTTATCAAGCGCCTGATTTATGGAATAATCTACCATTTAGTTTAAGATGCTGTACATCTCTATATTCTTTTAAAAAACAACTTAAAACACATTTATTTAATCGGGCTTTTAACTGACTCTGTATAATCTTGTTGTTTATTTATGATTTATAGTGCCCCTTGTAAAGTGCCCCTGAACATGTTATATGAAAGGGTGCACTATAAATATGCTGTAATAATAATTACAATGATAATAATAATTATAATAATAATGTACGGACAGGTCTTCTGTCTTAATAATATCAATAAAAATAGTTTTATTTCCCCTATGGCAATAGGCACGACGCCACAGATTTATCATAATTGTATTATAATATTATGTCCTATATTCAATTGATTTAATGCATGCCCAAAATACAAGTAAGAATGAAAATTTACCCTCTCACTCATTTTGTCCAATTGTTATAAAAATCCAAAAAGGTAAAACACAAATTCGGATTGATGACAGCAGACAAAAGACAGCAGAGATTATGTAGGTGGAGTTAACGCATGTCAATCAAACGATCGGCCTTACAAGAATCGGTGAAGATGGAATTCAATCCCATTTCTAGTCAAAAATTACACTGGTGATAACTATGTTCAGAATAAAGTAATTTGACTGAAAATTTCAATATATTCTCCTTTCATCATTTATTTTTGAACTGTTATAGCAAGAATGGCCAACTCCTTATAAAAATCTCCCATAATGTATCTTTAATCAATTGGTATTTCAGGTGAAGAAATGTTTAAGGAACTTGTATACGTTAATACGCTTATGGTGATTCTTCATAAACTATGACGTCAAATAAATCTTATTATTGAGACCCAAGTTCTACAATGTAATAATCCTTTTCATTGTCGTCGGAGATCTTTGAATATAAAAATATAAAAACTGAATGTAAACACAATAGAAATTAATATTTCTTCTTAACAATGACATGTTTATGCTCTTTTTACAGAGCTGTCTTCCTTTAAAAATTCACTCATTCTCCTTTATCTCTCCATTTTTGTATTATTCTCAAAAGAAACATATTCATTTGGTAACTGATTTTGTGAGTCATGGTTGATATTGTAATGTAATCTAACACTTTTACTTCACAACACGGTAAATAAGACTCTGTATTAGTCATAATAAGCCATAATAAAACTTTGTATTAGTCCAAAAGGTGTATATAGGTTTTGGGGAAGAATGATGATATTCCGACCTTGAGACACCGCATACTGTATGCTGTTCGAAGTTAAATTATTTCCCAGTGTTACCCAGGATATATTACAGTACACTGAGCTAAGATCAATATCACCGTTATGTAAATATTTTTATAAACATTAATACAATCGGGGATGTATAAATATTTTACACGTGGCGGGGCATGATGAGTTCATAGCTAATAAAGTTTTCTTGTGATTTTTTTAAATTATATTCAAAACTATAGTAAAACGAAATATACATCCATTATTATTTAATAAAATGTTTTTGGTTTGATTCGATTATCAATAGAGTAGGGAGCCACGGTGGTTCAGTGAGTGAGATGTTGGCTCGCTTACCTGGAGTTCATGTGTTGGGTCCATGCGTCTCGACAGTTCATCGGAATTTTCCGTAGAGGTTCTTACTATTTAGCGGTGCAGGACTGAGGGCCTGACAAGGGACAACGTAAAGTCGTTTGGGTGGGACGAAAAACGAGGTTCGGTGTATACATTGGCGTAAACCTAAAAGATCCCTTGGCAGTTGGAAATCGATATAATAGTAGGCAATAGCGCCGTCATTTCCATCATAGCACACCGTATGGCGTATGCCCATCTTCATTAGCCCAGGTTAGGAGCAGACAATTAGGACGTTAAACTCCATTTCGTTTCATTTATCAGCAGAGAAGACAGGTAAAGATAAAACAGTTGACTCTAACGGGTGGAAGGGGCTCGTCAGTCGACTTTACCGGTTGAAAGGAGCTCGTCAGTTGACCCTAACGACCGACAGGATCTCGTCAATTGACCCGAACGGCCCAGAGCAGCTCGTCACAAAAATTTAAAGGATGTACATTTAAACGTACATTGTATAGGTGTATTTTGTAAGTAATGGACGCCATCCCAGTGACCCTCTAAAAATGTCAAGTTAAACAAAATCTATAAAATAATAACTGAAGAAATATTATTTTATGATGTCTAAACCTATGAAGGGTTGTTGATAGAATGAAACTGATCAATATAATAAAATACGACGTCCATATAAAAATTGTTTTCACTACAAATCTTAACAATCATGTAAAGAAAGACATTATTTATTTTATTGAACTTTATACCAACCCGTTTATCATAATAAACACCGTTCAGTGCTTCTGCCATAGACGAATCACAAATCATGTCAAATTCATGGCCAAAAAATACACAAGATTTATCTTCGGGTAGATAGTTGACTCCATTACAATTTGGGTCTCGTGCACAATTTCCTAAACAAGATACGGCGTCTATAAACTGTATACCAACTTCTGTACCGTTTTCAGGTCTAATTTTTACACCCTGACATCCTGGTGTTTTCAACATTTTGTTCCATTTGAAGTTTAAATTAGGCCTACAACCGCTGAAAGATGAAACAATGAAACAATTATACAAATTACAACCGCTGAAAGATGATAATTACAACCGCTGAAAGATGATAACAAATTCCACATATTCTTCTCGTCGTCACAATTGCTATTTTCAAACCACATACCGTGCAATCAATTTCTTGAGCCAAGGATTAAAAAACCTGGTCCTCGCTTCTGTTTGGGTGATCCACGGTGGCTCAGTGAGTAAGACGTTGGCTCGCTAAGCTCGAGGTCTCGTGTTGGCCATGAAAGTTCATCGAGATTTTTCGGCGCTGTCGAGGGCCCGGCAAGGGACACCGTATAGCCGTTCGGATGGGACGGCAAACCGAGTCTCGCGTACACATTAACATGCACGTAAAAGATCCCTTGGCGGTTGGAATTCGATGTAAGAGTAGACCGTAGCGTCCCTATCCGGGCAAACAGTTTTTATTAGCCCTTGTATAAAGAAGTTATGTTTATAATGCACCACATTCCCTGTGTGTCATGAACCTATTGGATCAATAGACTGAGTTTAAAGGAGCTAAATCGTTCATATTTGGGACCTAGAAATTGACAAAATGGGTTGCAACGCATATTATAATGTAATATGATATAAAACACACAAATTTATATGGAAGAGGAACTTGTTGAAACGTAGTGTGAAATAAACCCAGTGATTGCTTTCCATATAAATTTGTGTTTTATATCATATACTATTCAAAAAAAGTAGGGGATATTTGATTTTTAAGTGTTATTAAAGTCACCTAATGAAACTGACGAAGAAACAAATGACAAAATGAAATGAAGTTCACATTCATCGATTTATTCCAAATGATCGTTAGACTAAGTAAGGCACAGACTGGCCATTACCAGGGTAAAATGATACCCGGGGTCAAACAGCAAAGTTACCACAGCATCACAA